CCAAAACCAGCCCGTAGTGCTCACCGGGCTCATGGACGACTGGCGGGCCTGCAAAGACTGGGTTTCCGGCGACGGAAAGCCCGATCTCGGCTTCTTCGCCGCTCATTTCGGTGGGTCCAGAGTTCAGGTAATCCCTTTCGCCGACGTAGCTTCATGGGCTTCCTTGTTTTTTGTATTTTCCTTTGTCCCTTTTGTTTTTAATTTTCGTGGAAGTTGGTCGGCTATGATTTGTATCACCGAGCTGTAATTTAGATAGGTTGCGGATTGTGATGCGAGGGAATTTACGGATCAAAAGAGATTGGAAATGTCGGTATCTGAATTCATTGACAGCTGGGTAGCGATTTCGGGGTCTGATAATGGAGGAGGTGATGGGAAGACGCTGTATTTGAAGGATTGGCACTTTGTTAAGGTGTGTCAAGTTGGTTGATATTGTGTTTTCTTGTTTTGGATCTGTTTGATTCTTTGAATAATACCGAATTTGATGTATTATTCTTTGATTCTGTGTGTGCTTGTGTGTTTGTGTGATTTATATTGATTTATGCAGTTAATGAGAAATAAGCTTAAGGAAACAATTTATAGTGCAGACTAGCTACATTGTATTCTTCGATTCTATAGCAAGATGAAAAATCGTGTTGGTATCCAATTCGATAGCCGTTCTCCTTCTTCAGCCTTATTATTTGTTTTCATATATCATCATAGGGAGATGCTATGGTCCCGTTACGGAACCATTCCATCGGAGTTTGTAACCGTTAGATCAATTATTCCCGACGGTTACATGATGATCTAACGGTTACAAACTCGACGGAATGGTTCCGTAACAGGACCGTAGCATTTCCCATCATCATATATGTAATAAATAATGGGCATTCTTTCCCCTTTCTATTATGTTTATATGTATCATATGTTTAAGCTGTAGAAATTCGTTCCTTGTTTTGGTTTTCTAGCTATGGTGGGTCACTTGTTTTTGTTCTGTGCCTAGCTGTATTTATATAAGATTAAGTCTTGTAAAAACTAAAGGAAAAAGGAGCATGGTGCCCTTTGCTCTATTTGTGATACAACTAATCCTGATTCACGGCATCCGCAAAATATATGTCACTTGATATTTAGTATTTTAATATATTATGTTATGAAGGTTTTTCAACTTCTGAAATAAACTTCCATACTGTGAAAAGGCATAATTTTACTTCTTATACTGTTCAAATTTCAGGAGTACCCAGATTATATTGCATACACCACGCCGATTTTTTTCCTCGATGATTGGTTAAATCTGTATCTTGATAAGTATGCCATGCATGATGATCCAGATAGTTACCAAGAGACGGATGAAATTAGTTGCTCTGATTATCGTTTTGTGTACATGGGATCAAAAGGTTTGAGTTTAAACTCCATTCGATTCCTTTTTAGATTTTTCATGTGATGTCTGAGTCTCTGACCTACCTTTACTTATATTTAAAATTTAAAAGACATGAATGAGAAAATTCGAAACTTTTGATTTAAACTGCAGGTACGTGGACTCCTCTTCATGCTGATGTTTTCAGGTCGTATAGTTGGTCAGCCAATGTGTGTGGCAGGAAAAAGTGGTACTTTTTGTCTCCAAGTCAACACCACCTCGTATTTGATAGGTGGGGCTACTTTTTTTTTTTTT